TATTCCAAAGGTCGTAGGTTCGAATCCCGCCGTGGCCAGGCATATTTTTCAAGCCTGCCCGTTGTGGATATACACTCAGAGTAACATCACACAAACATCTTATTCACCTGAGTACATTACACCAACACAGCAGATTTCATAAATATTAGATTACACTGATATCGAAGGAACTAGACTCAGTTCCGAAATATCGCTTACTCGAACCGTCCTGACTGCGTAGCTCAGTTGGAAGAGCATTGGGCTGGTACTGCAAAGGTCGTAGGTTCGCATCCCGCCGTGGCCAGGCATATTTTTTAAGCCTGCCCGGTGTGGATATACGCTCAGAGTAACATCACACAAACATCTTATTCACCTGAGTACATTACACCAACACAGCAGATTTCATAAATATTAGATTACACTGATATCGAAGGAACTAGACTCAGTTCCGAAATATCGCTTACTCGAACCGTCCTGACCGCGTAGCTCAGTTGGAAGAGCATTGGGCTGGTATTCCAAAGGTCGTAGGTTCGAATCCCGCCGTGGCCAGGCATATTTTTCAAGCCTGCCCGGTGTGGATATACACTCAGAGTAACATCACACAAACACTTTAGATTAGCTGGTGAACATCTCACAAGCACAACAGCACATACTGCAGTATAAATAACAAAGTTTTCTTATTTTTCGTCATATGGCTAAGCTGAGAAACTGTAATACAATGACTCCCTCCTCAGGAAATGATGGCTAATTGAGCTTGAAAGGACGTAAAAGAAGTTAAAATCACTACATTAGATTTTTGTGGCTTATTGTATATGTCTTACTATATCGCCAAGTATTTTAATAGATCGTACTTAGCCTACAGCTTGTCTATTTTCCCAAAGACTTTTCGGCTTTAGTAAGTAATGACTCTCTCCTCCGCAGAGGCTTTTAAAGAATATGAAATTCGAAGGAATTGAAATTGCGCTAGACTGACTGGTATCTGGTATGAAGAGAACCGCTAAAAATCGGCGCGCGGGCGAGGGGAAGGGAAGGAAAAAATAGCGGAAGCCTCTGCCCGATTTATGTCCCAATATGGCGTTAAACCGGGGGTAGAGAGACTCGTGCAGATTCTCGAGCAGTTTGGCAAAATGGCTCAGTTGCGTATTATTCATGTCCACGAAGGCAGTTTATTTAGGCTTTGCGGAGCAGGAAAACGTGTTGTGCTGTCTGTGGTTCACAAACAACAGATATATTTAGTCAAGCAGGCCTTCAACAACATTACCGAATTACACACAAAGTCACAGAATTCGATCATAATAGTTCGGCTTTATACCGGGTGTCCCAAAAAAAAGTACTCCTGTTTGATTCGTAATAACTTCTAAACAATTAAAGCTTTTTTAGAGAAATAACTTGCGTTAAATAGAGGAAGGACTAACTTAGAGTTTGATATATTACAGTTGTATTTCACTTAAAAATTCACGGAGATATTAATCTTTAAAATCGGGAACATATTTCTGGATGTGTCTGAAATATGCAAAAAACGGCGTATCAAATATTAATCAAGATTTGCCCGACTGAAACATGCACTATTACCAATAAATAAATGACATTTGACAAATTGTTTATTATGAAACAAAGTATTATTATATCTACAAAATACAAGCAAAATTTATTCGTCCGATATTCGCGTGTGTTCCTAGCACGAAAACGTTTCCTTATTTCATGAGACCACTGCATCGCGAAGGATCGTCATGGATCGTTCGTAGTTCTGAATTAGGGCATGCTGTCACAATGGAATTGTGAAGCACTTCTAACTTCTGCAACGTTCTGAAATCTTGTTAAGAACACCCAAACTCTTTTGCCTTTTCTTAATCTTGGCAAGTTCAGAGTAAACTGAGAATTATATGAAACACAATCAAACCATATAACTCCATAAGACATAACAATTAAGCAACTCCCCAGAGACATGCAACATTTTTGGAACAAAACGTAACAAAATAGTAGCGTTGATACGGTGATGTGTATTTGCAAAAAGCAATATTATTTCCTTCAATAAAGAATAATATTCATCCTGCTCTAACCGAGAAATAATCAACTCAGTCTGTTTGAACCCATTAAAAACCTAAAATAATTAGGCTATTTAAGAAAAATTTAAGCGCCTGCCTTCCATGGTCTTTCATGTACTTTTAAGTTTGTGAAGACCTAATATTAAATACTTGCATAATTTCGAACGTTCATATTTCAGAAAACAATGAGCTAAGACTTATATGTAAGATGTCTGAATCTACGCCATATCCCTTACAAACCTTATTATAACGATAATTTGCTGAAATACAAGTTAGCCTGATATTTCATTAAGCAAACAAACGCTGAAGTTAATATTTGATATGCCGATTTTTGCTAATTTTAGACACATCCCAAAATATGCTCCCAATTTTGAACATTAAGGTTACAGAACACCTTTGAGTGTTAATTTTGCCTAAAATTTTTTTATTGGTTTCAATGAAAGCATTATATACTAGTTCTACTATCTGACCAAGTTTGAACGAAAAATGTTGAAAACTCGCAGAGTTATTTAATAAAATACATTTCGCTGCAATAAGAAAAACATTGAAAATGTAATATTCAAATTCAATTTTCTCCCGAAAAATTTTACGGTAATTACTGATTTTCAAACGAGTTGTGCTCCTGCGGGTTTTAACCAATTTTTCTCAAATTTTCACAGGACATAGCTAAATACGTCAGCTTCAAAATTGTGTTCGGCTATTTTTTAATTTTGGATATTTTAAAAATAAAGAGCAATTCACTCAAACGATTCAGAAATATATTGCAGTCGTCAAAGAAATCGCCATATCAGCGGAATGACGAAATAAACAAAAATTTCCGAACACAATTTTTTAGAACAACTATTTTACTGTATAAAAATGATATTTTCATAAATATAACTTAAAACCAGCAGGAGCACAACTCAAAAGCGTAACGGTACCGCGATTTAAGATTTTCCTGAATAATTCTTACATTATTTTATTGTTTGTTAATTTTACAACTTTATCATATTTTGCATGCACTGGAGAACATTTGGTGAAAATTTGATGAAAATCGGACTGATATTGAGTGCGCAGTAGCGATTTTCCGCAAAACGCCAAAAAGGGTGTCCTGTAACCTTAATATCTCCGTGAATTTTTAAGTGAAATACAACTGTAATATATCAAAATCTAAGTTAGTCTTTCCTCTATTTAATGCAAGTTATTTCTCTTTAAAAGCTTTACTTGTTTAGAAGTTATTACTAATCAAACAGGAGTACTTTTTTTGGGACACCCGGTATACTTTAAATTGCAGATGTATTTTTCAATGAATGTGTGTTCTAATATAGGATAACGAAAATTACAAGATTTTTGATCATGAAGGCGATCGTGAGAGCATGGTGTTGTGTTGTTCAAACGAGAAAGAGGCAGCAAAGTTGTTTGGATTATATTTAGACAATATACGGTTCAAAACTATTTATTATTTTCGTTCGTTCAACTCCTCATAACACAATATTATACCAAAATATATACGTTGGCCAACAGATCTTTATACAAAATGTCTTCACATTATGAAATAAAATTTAAAACAGAAAGGATTGTTGAGATAAATTACGGATGCTACAGATATCGGCAATTTGTCACAGATATCGACATAAATTGGGCAGAGGCTTCCGCTATTTTTTTCATTCCCTTTCCCTCGCCCGCGCGCCGATTTTCAGCGGTTGTCTTCATACCAGATACCTTCTATAGCGCAATTTCAATTCCTTCGGATTCATATTCTTTAAAAGCCTCTGCGGAGGAGAGAGAAGTAATGACAGTACAAAAATTAAACTTGTCAGAAACGTTTCTTTATTCTTGCCCAGTCCCCCGCGCAGCCTCCTTGCAGAATTTCTACATTTTTGGGGGAAAAAAACTTTCAGTTAATTGATTGAAATATGCCAATTTCATGTCAACATGATCGCTAGAGTTTGGCAAAATTTCACATTTTCGACAGCAAACCCCCAAACAGTAATAATACAGTAATAGTAATAATACAAACAGTAAACAGCAAAAATAATGAGACTTTTCACTTTTTGGCCAGTTTCAAGTACGTCGGCCTCCCCCCTCCCCCCATGATCAATGTTGGAAAAAGCGGATTGAATTTTCTCTTTTCAGTCATTCACACAACGTTGAATTGGGGGTGCGGGGGGCATTTACGCGTTTGTCTCAATAATTTTTGCTCCTGATTGTAGGACTGAATCAAAATCAATTCACTTCACTTTCAGTAGTGATTTATTCGTATGAGATGTCATTTCAAATCATCCAATTCGGACTGGACCATTCAAATGAACATAACTGCATGGAACGCTACCTCCAAGCGGAAATGTGAAGCCAGGTCCCAATCTTTTCACGCATGCGAAGAGCGTTCAATCACTCAAGCATAATATAAACACGCGTGATCTTACTACCTCCAGACATGCGTATCTGGAGGTACGATTCGGCTTCAAGAAACGAGGGTTAGGGTTTAGGGCCAGGGCTAGGGTTATAACCCAATAGCTTATTGCTGACAACGGTTGATAATTACAATACTATATTGTTGATAATGTGTGGAACGGCTGTAATGTTGAGCAGCTGGGAAATTTGTTGTCGCTGTGCAGAGAAATTGCTGGCGCACCCGATATTTCACAAAAATTCGAAAATTTGAAAAAACAACATGAGTGAAATTTCAAAGATGATTTTGGTTTTCACAACGGCCCTCATTAGTGGCCCTCATTACTATCCTGAAGACTGCCCAACTACCCAAGAGACGACTGGGGAATTCGAAGACACAGGAACTTCCAGTATTTACTCGCAGCATTTCACTTACATTCTAGTTCTATTAAATATTTTTGCTATGGCTATAGTCAATTTATTCAGGTCCAGGAAATTTAAGCCTAGAAAAATGGTGAAAGAGAAACTTGGTCTATGGATGACAAAGTCAAACTTTTAAATCATGACAAATGTTGTCAATTTTACAAAGCATGAAATAACATTTATAAACTTATCAAATCAAAATAATCTAGTGATTCAGTACAAACAACTGCCTGCAGTAAAAGTTAATTTTGAACAGAATAATTTCCAATCTTAATTTAAAATGCGAATTTACCTGTTTTTGCGCGTGAGGTCAGTCCTTTGCAAGAATGTTTTCGCGAAACGTATTCACATGTTACCATGATACGCGTCGCTTTGCGACTCAGGCAACTTAATTGGAAAACTTTGAAAACACACGTGAAATTACACCTTAATTTTACTCAGCCCCATGTGATTACCTATACTAATTGTCAAAATATATATTGCCATACCGATGAGTCTGTACATGAAGTAGTTGTCTATACAATAAAACAGTTATTCTGCTCACTCTCGTTGTATTTGATTGATACTAGCCAACTCGGTGCTATACGCACCTCGTCCGGATATCAGCTCGAGCCTATACGACTCGAGTTCGCAGAATAACTGTTTAGTAATGATAAATGTTCTACAGATCAAAAGACAAATTTATTACATCATGATCATATGATTAAAAAAGCGACAAGTTCAAATACTGTGTTTAGCGTTTTGTAGTCGGAGAGCCAGTCGGAGCACAATGCCTTGACTTTTTCTGCTAACATTCAAAATTATCATCTGAACCGAACTGCCAGCTGCATAGAGCCGAAGCTAATAACTGCTCTGCAACAAAGTTCTCAAATTTATTATTTCATTCATTATTGTTATTAGCATGACAAAATTACAGGATGCTGATTGGTTGAGAGGAGTACAATTATTTCATTAATTGTACTGCAGTACAATTAATGATTATACCAAAACAAACAAAATGGCGGAAAGGTGTTTTAAACACAAACGTGAAATGAAATTGCCCTAGAGGAACTAGATGAAGATACGAACAAAAGCACCAAATTTTGCTTGAACAAAAGAACTAAATGAAATACAAACAAAAGCACCAAATTTTGGTTGAAAGTCTGGCAGGACTGGGCTTTGGCGAGAGAATACGATGTTGACAATTTACATTGAGAAGTACGTTTTTGTCATGCTAATAATACAAGTGCGATGTTGCTCGTACAATTAGGGATTAATAGTTCTCGTGATGTTTGGAAATTTGCCAAATTGGACTCGCCCCGGCGGCTCGTCCAATTTTGGCAAAATTTCCAAACATCACCGTACTATTAATCTCAAATTGTACTTGCCATCGCATGATTACCTATACTTATCATTGTGTTCCAAAAAGATCTTTGAACCTAAATTCGTGCGTTGCATACTAATACTGTACGTGATAGTTAATTATTTGTGTATGTAACGTTATAGGCCGAATATGGAGGGTCGCACTGAAGTCAGTCTTGAAAAAAATTGGTTCTGAAGAGAAATCGCGCACGTATGATCTTAGCGTTATTCAAACAAAGGTGCAGTTCTACTTATTTCAACTCGGATTACCTGAAGAAGATTCTGAAGAGTTTAAAAAGATGTCGCAGGTGCTCCAAAAAGAGGTGCAAAAATTCTATTTGACCGGCGAAGTAAGCATTGAATCCTGGCTAAACCAATTTAAAACTGATGGTGACGAAGCTGTTTTGTCTTCATGGGTACAGGAAAATAAGGCCATTGGGAGTATTCCGTGGTTAGCAAAAAATGAAAGCATTACGAAGACGTTTACGTTTGTATATTATTCATTGAATCTTGTGCTGGACGCCATGTCAAACGTATCGTTGAAAATTTTACTTGAAAAAATGGGAAACAAATTACAGTAAATACAATTAGCCAATTCCCAATCGAGCAGAGGACTGAGTCTAGTTGATGTTTGGAGGGACGTTCGGAGGGACAACAACTTATATTGAGCGAGCTAAATAGGTATTAAAAGATGTCTTATTATAATTGTTGCATTTCAGGCTGCACAAATAACTTTAAGCTGGAGTAATACGAGCAACAAAATTGCTGCAACTTGCAACAAAATCTGATTTCAACGCATGTTAAGTAGAAATGTCGACACATGTTGCCTCGTGATTTGTAATTTATGTGTAAACATTTTTCAATTAACATGTGTTGAAATCAGATTTTGTTGCAAGTTGCAGCAATGTTGATCGTATTACTCCAGCTTTAGGAATGTAGGAAAACTTCCTATAGATGCCATATTCGGCATATTGTTATTTCTTGTCAAATAAGCGACTAGACCCAGTCCACTGCTCGATTGGAAAATGGCTAATTAGATCGTACTGATTTATTTTCATTACAATCATGCATCGCTGTAATCGAGTATACATGTCATCGATGACATGTACTTACTTTACTTATTCTGTCAACACGACGGACGTTGGATAACAGGTGAAAAATCTCCAAAGATAACAAAGTTAACATAATTAAGTTTTTGTGGTGCCAGCAATGTGCTGACCTGCATGTATATACATTGTTTAAAGTTGAGTATCAATTTAGTAATTCTCATTACCGTATTTGAAGTTGATATATATAACATGGAGTTGTAGCTCGAACTGAGTTTCAGCCACCATTGTAGCACAGGTAATTTCAACTGGGCTGAACTTCCATTCAATGAAAAGTATTCCGATTTTTTGAACGCTTTACATAATGACCAAAGTTTCGTAGGCTATATATGGAGCCGATTTAAAAATATGTAATGTAATTTAGAATTTTTATAAATGTTAATATAACTGCAAACAATAAAAAGTGACCAATATGTCGAATATGTACTCCTACTGTAGTTACCTCAGTGATTTACATCTTTTTCAAGTTTGTCAAACGACACAACATAAATTAAGGAATTCTACAGATTATTCACTTTTTGCATGTCTAACAGAATGGTTTAGGAATTTTTTTCCTTCCATGGCCAACGAGATACGTTCCATAGATTCCATTATACATTTGGGATACTAGTCCAACGTTCTGCCAACTGAGCTACAATGTGAAGTCTCAGTTGGCAAAGCATTGGACTAGCATCCCAAAGGTCGCGGGTTCGATTCCCACCGTGGTCAAGCTAATTTTTTATATAGCCTGCCCGGTGTGGATACACACTAAGAGTAACATCAAAAAACACTATATTCACCTGAGTACATAACATCAAACACACACAAAAATATCAAATTATCGAAATATTTTTAATTGGTCCTAAAATGTTGTCGTTGGAACATAACACGACAATATTTTCTTATGTACATGTACACAGACTTATATCAAAGAAACAGTACGTTTTCATTTCAAACAATTATTATTATTATTATTATTATTATTATTATTATTAATGGTTTATTAATTCTTAATGGTTAATTCTTACATAAACTAATATGTATGGGTGCATGCATGCATGCGTGAGTGTATATGTATTTAACTTGTAACGCGTAAGCCAGCCCAGGTCCTATAGATGAGTGTGTACGCTCTTGGGGCAAACTCATTTCGATCAAATATGTTTAAAAAAATGCAATTTTTCTTTATGGGATTCAGATTTTATATCAAGATGGAACAGGAAACAAAAGGAAAAGCGTTTTTATCCCAGACTGAACTTTCTTTGCGATTACATGCGAGAGATTCAGCAGCCCCCATATAATAAGTTCTTTGTATGTTTGCATGGTGATAAAATATAATAGGTTTTGTTTGTGGAAACACCACATAAATTTATTACTGCAAAGCTTTCGATCCGTAAGCCCGGATCTTCATCAGTGCTAATAATATGTGACTTGTTTAATTCACACGCTCTTTTTATATACAAAAGTGTCGATTTTATTATTATATTCTAGACGATCTAAAATAACCGTAGCGTTACCCTTATCAGCCTTTAAAATATGTATTGACTTATCTGCTCTTAAGTTTCTCAATGCATCCTTCTTATTCTTGGTTAAATTCGAAGCTGGAAGCGTTGCACGTCGTAGAACCTCAGTGATTTGGACGCAGATGTTACTAGCTCCATCGTTCGTCATGTGGTATAACTTCGGTTCCAAACGTTGTACAAATCTTCTTTAGGTAGAACACGGGGTACCACAGCGAAATTTAATCCAAGAGCCAAGACATCTTCTTCAACCGGCGTAAGTCTTCTAGCACTCATATTGATAACGGTGCGTTGTAGTGGATGACTGGCCATATCTTCTTGTCTGCAATGCGTCCGACCAAAAGACGTCAATTTTGTGAATTTGGTAATCTGAGTGGAACGTGCTTTGTTGAAAGTTTTCGTAGAAGACGCAGAGATCATTCTTTTAGCTGTTGCATAGTGTTCTTCATTTAAAGTCATCCACAATTCTTCATTCAGAGATAAAATACGTTCATCCACTCTGCATAACTGTCTACGAGTCCAAGCAATTCGTTCTCTTACTAATGCCAACTCGGCTTTCATCAAGATCTTTCGCGCATGCTTAGTATGATATTGCGTTGAGATGCGTAATCCTTTTGGAACAACCTTGTTGTCTCGACACCTTTTCAGAAAGGCGAGGTTGTTAATCAATCTTGAACGTTGATTGGTAAGCCGAGCCATGTTTGCATGGTGATAAGGTTTTGTTTATTGTTCACGTAAATTTATTACTGCAAAGCTTTCGATCCGTAAGCCCGGATCTTCATCAGTGCTAATAATATCATAGAATATATAATAGACCAGAAGCCTCACTGTACACCTTTCCTTAACATTTTCGTGTCCGCGATTTTCGCCTTGCGGATCACGAATTTCGCACGCTAGATGACGTGTGTGACACTTGCTGCGAACATCACGTCAGCGTTCGTCAGCAAAACGGTTAAAACAGCAATCTTTATTACCTGGTAATGTTATATTATTATATTATTAAATTTGTCACAAATATTTACAATGACACTGATAAACAATATACATAACAAGCTACAAGACAACACACGTGACTGGAATGTGGAACAGGACTTACGTCCCAATTAATACCTCACCCCATATATACTTCATAGGCACTTTCTCGGTGTGAGAACAAACGAAAGCTTAACACTAATCTGAACTTGATCATTATTTAAATTCTAACTGATTAACGGTTGTTCGTACACCGAGCTAGTGGGTGAACTTTACTGAACTGAACTAAATACTTAGTACTTATATTACAAACATTTTCTTCACAAAACTAAATATTAGCTCCGGTTATTGGGAAGTTTGTATGATTTTGACTTGATACTATATAAGTTATTTAAACGAGTTTTAAACGAACATAAACTACTGGATTTCTTAATTTCAGTTGGTAGGCTGTTCCAAAGTTTTGCTGATCTAATAAAGTAAGAGTTTTGAAAGTATTCCTGATTATGTTTTATAATGAGGTGGAAGTGATTTTCGTCATAGTTGCGAGATTGATAGCTGGGATTGTAAGTGCATAAATATTTGTTTATATCAATTGTTATGAGGTGGTGTTTGGATTTGAACAGCAGTATCAGATCAGAAAGTTCTCTTCGGAATTCCAGTGGTAGGAGATTTGTTTTCTGCAACCGGTCCACGTACGACATGTCAGGATAATTCAAGATAAATTTTGTGGCCCGCCGTTGAACATTCTCGATGAGCAAACAATGCTTAATGGTGTAAGGCGACCACATGCTGCTTGCGTATTCTAGCTTGGGTCTTACCAGCGCACAATACAGAATTCTTCTTGTGTTGGTATTCTTCACTTCTTTACAAATCCTTTTGATGAGACCAAGTGTTTTATTAGCCTTGGATACAATGCTTTCTATGTGTTTCGACCAGGATAGGTTGTTGGATATTAGCACACCAAGGTCCTTGAAGGTCGACACTTGTTCGAGTATGTTCTCATTGATTGAATACTGAGTTCGCGTAGGTGCTCTTTTTCTTGAGAAGTGCATGGTCTTACATTTTGTTGCGTTTAGTTCCATTTGATTATCAGCAGTCCAGTTTGTTATATTGGAAAGATCAAGTTGAAACAAAGTAGAAGATGTGGGAAACAAAAGTGGTCGGTAAAGCTTTGAATCGTCCGCAAATAACGCAAGTGTAGAATTATTTTCGATGTAGGTTGGAATGTCGTTACAGTAAACAAGGAATAGCAAGGGTCCGAGTACAGAACCTTGTGGCACACCTGATGTTACGGGAAGCCATTCAGAGCAAACGCCGTGAAGAACGACTCTTTGTTGTCTATCTGTGAGGTAGCTTTGGAACCAAGATAATAGAGATCCCCTGATTCCCAAAGTCTCAAGCTTACGCAAAAGAAGATGATGCGGTACTTTATCAAATGCCTTTGAAAAGTCCAGGTATATGGCATCAACTTCATTCCCACTTGCGAGTGATTCCAGAATTTCATGGTATACTTCAAGCAGCTGTGTGGTTGTGGATTTTCCTCGTATAAAACCATGCTGCATTTGATAAATGTGTGGCTCGAGATGCTGGTAGGAAAGATTATGAACGCAACGTTCTAGGACTTTCGACAAAGTGCAAAGTAGTGAGATTGGCCTGTAGTTTATTGCCAGCGTTGGATCTTCGCGTTTGAATACGGGTGTAATGTTCGCCATTTTCCATTTAAGAGGTACTACACCAAGATTTAATGACATGTTAAATATCTCACATAACGAAGGTGCAATAACGTCCGCAAGTTCGATCAGCAGTCTGTTCGGAATGTTATCTGGACCACACGCCTTTCGTGAATTTAGTTTGCGAAGAACTCCAACAACTTCAATTTCCGAGAGTTCAATACTGGAAAGCTCGGGCATTGATGACGTTGAGGGTAAGGGAGATTTATTAAATGATTCCGAGCTCTTAGGGTTGAAGACAGAATGAAAGAATGTATTTAAAGTATTTGCCATCTCAAATTTGTCCGTTGTAAATGAGTCTTCAGTTTTCAGGAAATTGATGTTCTTTCGGTTTTCCGTCGAGTGTTTTACAGCCGCCCAAAATCGTCGGGGATTCTCATACAAGGACTCTGTAAGCTTGATGTTGTATTGTTTCTTTTTCTTATTGATCAGTTGCTTTGTTAAACGCCTTAAGTTTTTGTATTTCTCTAGGTTAGTTGGGCTTGGAAATTTTTTATGCTTTCTTCTTTGTATGTTTTTCTTCTTAATTTGCCTGAGTAGTTCCTTATCTATCCACGGGTGGTCATGCACACTCTTGATGCAATATTTTGGTATGTGTTTATCTACGGTTGAAAGGAACATGTCACACCAGTTCGAAAGTGTCTCATCAATGTTACCGGGAACAAAACATAAATCCCAACGAGTGTTTGCAAGTAATACTTTAAGATTGGACCAATCAGATTTTGCAAAATTGTAAACGAAACGCTCAACTCTTGGTTTACTTTGTATTTTCAAGTTGATTTCAAAGCTTATGAGTTTATGATCTGTACTTAAGACGTCATCAAACCCTGTCACATTCTGAATTTTGTTCGGTATATTAGTAAGAATTAGATCAAGTGTGTTCTCACCTCGGGTAGGAAAGTCAACCAATTGCCACAAATAATGATCTTTCACAGTTTTCGTAAAGTGTTGATAAATGGTATTGTTGTTAGCCGATACTCCAGTGGTCCAGTCAATATTTGGTAAGTTGAAGTCGCCGCAAACTATAATTTGATCAAACTTACTCCGTCTTTGAATGAGCTGAAGAGATCTTTTGAATTCCTTGATGTACTTTAAATCCGAGTCTGGTGGTCTGTAGAAAACAATCACTGCGATCTTCTTCTTCGATTCGGGACGAAGTTCGCATACTAACATTTCAGCGCTGCTTTCGAGGTCCTGTCGTCTCATGCTCAAAATGTTCTCACGCACAGCTAGTAAAACACCGCCACCAGTTCTGTCAGACCTGTCTCGCCGATGGATGTTAAAATCGTTGCCAGGAAGAATTTCGCTATCCAGGTTCTCGGGTTTAAGCCAGGTTTCTGTCATCGCTAAGAGGTCAATATCAATTGCCAGTGTCTGAAGTTCATTGGTTTTATTTATCAAACTTCTCGCATTGAGGTAAAGACACTGAATATTGTAACTATTAGAAGCTTGTGGAGGGCCAGGATTTGTTGCAATATCACCAGCTAGTAAGATCAACATAAACGTATGACTCGTAATCTTTGCGATTTGGAAACAAAGACCGTATCGATAGCTATCATCTGGTAAGTTAAATTTTCTCGACTTTTTATCTTGAGTTGTAAACCAAATCGAGCACAGTCTGTTGGGCAAAATTACCAGTTCTGGACTTATAATTAACGTGGATCCTGAGTCCGTGGGGTTGCGTGATGACTGTTTGACGCTTAGAAACAACAACCAGAGAATGGCGATAATAAATAAAGGTTTTTGAATCGTCGAATGTCTTTCTTTGCGTAGTTTCTGCATGGTGTCCATGTACATAATTGCTAGATTATGACTCTTTATTTGTTAAGTTGAATAAATGTTCCAGACGCACGCAAAACAGTTGCTAATATGGGTTTAAAGAATTCCAGAAACGTTCAACTTCCAATCAGTAATGTTAGATTAGCTTTAATTGAATGTTCTAATATTAATTTCAATAATTTGAACGATTCTTCGCCACTGACGTACGTGAAATCACGTGCGCCGTATGCTTGCGGGATTTCTTAACGGTCTCAACTGAATTTCCAAACTGGCAGTCACAAACCGTAGCCACGAAACAAATTTTCGCCTCAAAAATCCAGACAATTCTGTACAAACTTCACAAATCCTTTATGCTTTCCAGGTAGATTTGTCTTTAATATAATATCCAGCAAATATTTATGGCAAATTTCTCAAAGGCAGCGGTAAAATTTTGCCTTTAAACGTGGAGCGCTCAAGCTCGCGCCCTCGCGCAACAGCGCGTCACGTCACAGACGGCAATTGATGGCGTAATGGCAATTAATGGCAATTGATGGCGTAATTTCTCGCGTTTGATGGCGTGGATTACACTTGCTGGCTCGCGCCTGCGCATAAAAAATCTCGGACATAATTTTGGCTGAGTGAGGCTTCTGGTCTTATTTTCTATTCTGTGATAATATGTGACTTGTTTAATTCACACGCTCTTTTTATATACAAAAGTGTCGTGATCTGTTGGCTCGCGTCATTTGAAATTTAATTAAACGGCACATCAACACGTCATTCCAAACGTAGTGAAGTGATTCCAATTAACGCGCGCGCATCCAAGACAAGAGAAATTAATTTTGCACATTAAAGAGAGCACGCCACGTACTATCTAGTGGCTTTCCCTCCTGATCTATAGTATTGTGCTTCTCGATTTCAATTGACTCTCTCATTTTGCGAGAGAACTTGTGACTATCAATCGCCAGAATGGTTGCTTCGTCCCATTTTATACGATGGTCGTAAGTCCAAGTATGTTTAGCCACAGCAGATTTATCTTGCTCGGCTTTCTCGCAATTCGTCTTGTGTTCCTTAAGACGTACTGAGAGATTTCGACCAGTTTCACCAATGTAAACCAGACCACATTCACAAGGAATGCGGTACACACCAGGTTTCTGAGATTCATTTACATTGTCCTTATGTGTGCAAAGAGCTCGAAACAATTTGTTTTCGCTGGAATGGTATACCTTTATACCTGCTTCATTCCTCAAAATTCTTTCGATTTTGTGTGAAGCCGGGCCAATGTATGGTAGACAAACAGACGACTGATACTCAATCTTCTGCTGTATACTTTGTGGCGTTTTCATAGCATTATCTATGAAATGCCGGGGGTAACCACTTGTTTTTAGAACATTTCTTAAATGTTCTAATTCATTGTCAACGTCACTTACCTCACAAATTGTTTTCGCTCGGTCGATAAGTGTCTTACACACAGAGTTTTTGATACTAGGATGATGAAATGAATTATAATGCAGATACCTGTCTGTATGTGTTGGTTTCCTATAAACCTTATGTCCTAGCGACCCATCATCATGTATAGTGAAAAGAACATCTAAGAAAGGTATAGTTTTATCATCCTTCTGTACTTCAAAAGTAAACTTGATCGATGGATGCAAACTATTAATGTGGTCTAGAAACTTTTGTAGATTATCTAGTCCATGAGACCAGCTACTCAATGTATCATCCACGTATCTGAACCAGAAACCAGCACTTTTCAAGGCCATGTATGAATTTCAAACGACTTTGTCGAAGACATGAACTAAATCATTTATACAATGCCTCCGTTTTTTAATGTTAAACAATTTAAAAAATATGCAAAAACTAAAGCATTAAGAATTTCTTTCAAGTCCTTGAATTTTTGTTTTCAAATTCAAAGACTTCCAAGGTCTTGATGTTTTGTATGAACCCTGTCTAATAAAGCATCAAATGCAGTGAAACATCACATTTAATCCATTATAGCCAACGAGCATACAGCCCTTTGGTTTCATGCAAAGATAGTGGAACTTCAGTGAAGTTCCGATTGTTCTTCAGAATACATACCTAAAATGTCTTTCATTGTCATTTCCACTTCTGGGCCTGTATTAAACAAGAAAATGTACCAATTTAGGAAATTTGGCAAGCACTGCTACCTGTACATATAGCTTATAGGTATTGTGTTTATTTTACCATATTTATGTACAGAATACCTACTGTACTCTATTGATAACCAACTGTGTCAGTTTTACGAACACTTTAAATAGCACTATCCACCATGAGATAGTGATTTTTTCAACCGCTATAAAAATGCTTGAAAAACTATAAAACTACGGATATGGTAGCGCTTTCGCACAACCGGGCCAAGAAAAAATGGGTGTAAAAAAGTTGAAACTATAATTAAAACAGAAAAGCACACTGCATGAATGTCCTGCAATGTACAATGAGAAAAGAGCGCTTGGTTGGAGTGATGGACTTGCAAGACTAGTGCAGTATATATTTTTTTACATTTCCACCACCAGCTCTCAATATATAGATTGTGCTATTTAATTTATTGCGCTTTTGCCTCGTTCTAATGTGGTTATATTTATTGCAAAATAGAATTAGGGAAAGGCTTGCAATTAGATTCAAGATCAAAGAGAAACATATCCATGCACGGGACATGTAGATACTAGCGGGCACTCGAAGACAGTATACCTCCGCCAGTGAAATTAAGTCAATACATGTAGGTGTCATGCATAAATTACAAAATGGCATAATCACGCATCCAAGTTACTCTGCCTGGCAAAGCAAACGTTGGATAACATCTCACCCAGTTTTCACCATATTTAACGAAAAGTTAGTTAATAATTTTTCTTCAGGCAATGTCCATCAGTACCATAAATTTTCGTATTAGGCTCGACAACAAGGCTCTGCAGCAAACTCCGATTCGTCCTAAAGGGCCTGCAGTTGCATTTTTCGCAGGCGCGTCGGGTTAGGTCAAAATTTATGTATAAACTTACACTCAAAATTTCTATTTACAAAACCTTTCAACATTAATTCAATCGAATAACTGTGGCCGCGGTTGTATAAAAACGTAGTTAAAGTTAACTGCAGTTAGCGTTAACTACCGCAGTTAAATCCTAAATCTGTAATTACATGACTTATAGGGGCAGTGTCACAAATTTTTGACCAAAAATGTCTTTTATTCAAAGTCTGACCTTGAATTTGAAAAAAAAAACCATTATAAATAGGTTCAGCTATGATATACGAATCATATTACGCAACTTTGAACTTCCACACAACATGCAAGACGACGTTTTCATACAAATTGACCTAAACTTGAAAAAGTGTCTGCCAACAATTAATCAAGATGTCATTTACAATCCATCTCAATCCTCGCCTAATCTCAACCATCCAGAGTTCTGTACATGTTTATGTCTTTGCCTTCCTGCTTTTCAGGAGGTTTGCATTTAATGAGCTCAGTTTACTGGCAAAACAAAACACTCGACTTGGGATAACTTGGCCGTGAAATTGATTCACAGCCGCTTTATTTTAAATCTCGTCATTTAATTAGAAATATCATAAAATCATTAAAATTGATAATTTGAGTTAATAATCTGAGTCTTTTAATGTTCATTGCCAGTAAAGGTGGCAGGACTACACGACAACTAGGCAAAAAGTATAATAATGGTATGTACAAGAAAAGACAACTAACTAAAATACAAAGCGGCAGGCCAGCGAGAGGAGGTGGGATGAAAATTAGTATGTCTTCACTTGATCACTAGAACGGTTGAATTGAGAAGCGAATAACTTTGCTTATTTTTGAATTTCAGGTTATTGTTTTATGTTGTGCTTACAGCCATTCATTCTCAAAATCGGCGACACTGCTCCTTTAACTGCGTTGCACAAAACGTAGTTAGCCGGATAGTTAGTCGGATAGTTAAGCGTAATCACAAAATTACATAAAGTAAGCAGTAATTAACGACCGCTGACAAGAATTTTTACACCCCTAAAAACGCACAGGTTGTTCCAAGTTGATATTGGCAGGCGTGAACAATTATGAAGTTGTCAACCATGTCGCTCCAAGTTGTTACAGTTGAACAATTCTGTAATAACAAGTTGACAATGTGCGTTTTTACGCGTGTATGAACAGTATTGTCATACTGTTCATACGCGCGTAAAAACGCACAGGTTGATGCAACACTAATGAAAACAGGATTGGACAATGTTTTGCTGCCCACATTGTTCATAGCTGTCAACAATATTGAACAATATTGTTACACCCGATTCAGGCTCAACAATATTGTTCAATATTGTTGACAAGTGTGAACAATGTGGGCAGCAAAACATTGTTCAATCCTGTTGAGCAGCGGGCTCGGCGTTTTTGGCCGTGTAGTGGGCCGCACAACCTTGTTCACGCCTGTTGATATCAACCTGGAACAAGTTGTTGATTTTCTCAATTTTTACGCGTGTACGATGATTATGGACTCGTATTTTTGCAAATGGACTGAAATATAGTGAAAAATAAAGCAAGGCAAAACCACCGCAAAAACCATAGAAGTAGGTTTTCCAAGAGATCATACGGTAAGGTGGTTCGATATAGTTATCCCATCTCCCTCTGCACGCATAAAATTAAAAAAAAACGGGTGACCATTTTTACGCGCAAGTCGCGGAAACTGATTAACAAAATGAAGGAACTTCCAAAATGACCTAACGTGAGCAGTTGCTCGCGCCATCTCACGTCATTGCGCGTGTTCTATAGCGTTTGCTGTCAATTGACATCTTCAGTATCTCGCTATTTTGTCTGGTGATCTATGTTCAAATTTTGCATGCTGTATTCCACCGCTAAGAGACCATAGGCCATTTTGGAGTGAATTTCGTACACGTATTTCGTCATAGCAACAAACTAACTGTTACTAAAACTAATATAATTTGAAAGTAGAGATATCAAAACTCCCCCAATATCTGCTGAATAAACCCTAAAAATGCGTACTTTAAACATGTCAAAGTGTTGAACACTTGAATTTTGAAAAGTGTATTGAGCCACCTTAAATTAAACCAACGTGTAGCTAGCTGTTTGGCAATTATATATCAGTGCTATTTCGTGTAACGCCTAATGTGTCTACTTAATCTTCCAGAAATCTCCTGTCGTTGCTTTTCATTACTGTTTTACTAATAATGCTGTTCACTCTTATACAAGTGCCATTGTAATTTGTAAAATATGTTAGTTGAAAAGTTAACGAGATCCAGAGAATATAGAAACATATACTCGCCATGGCACAGGGGTCCCAGCGAGTAATAGTGGTATGTACAAGAAAAGACAACAAACTAAAATACAAAGCGGCAGGCCAGCGGGAGGAGAGGTGGGATGAAAATTCGTATGTCTTCACTTCCTAGAGAATATAATTAACTTTAACTACTTTTTAACTTCAGTTAACGCTAACTACATTTCTAACCACTATTTAACTACAAAACGGATAGTTAACTTGTAGTTATATTATACACGAGCTTACGGTCAGAGCTCGACAATTTTCATCCGAATCAAAATTTATTCAATTTGTCCTAAGGCATAAGTATTATTGGCGGAAGTATTAGAGGTTTAGGCCGCGTTTACACTATGACGCTACGGCCTCTGGCTACGGCTAACACTCCGTTAAAAATTTACTACGTTTCTAGTATTAAGACTATATTGTGTTTACACTATAACGGAGCGGTTTGCCGTAGCGTACTAACTACGAAATTATATTGTGTTTACACTATAACGAAGTGGTTTGCCGTAGCGTACTAACTACGGAAATCAATTCCGTTAAAAATTCACTACGTTTCTAGTATTAAGACTATAATTATTGTGTTTACACTATAACGGAGTGGTTTGCCGTAGCGTACTAACTACGAAATTATATTGTGTTTACACTATAACGGAGTGGTTTGCCGTAGCGTACTAACTACGGAATTATAATTGTCGGTTTACACTATAACGAAGTGGTTTGCCGTAGCGTACTAACTACGAAATTATATTGTGTTTACACTATAACGAAGCGGTTTGCCGTAGCGTACTAACTACGGAAATCAATTCCGTTAAAAATTCACTACGTTTCTAGTATTAAGACTATAATTATTGTGTTTACACTATAACGGAGTGGTTTGCCGTAGCGTACTAACTACGAAATTATATTGTGTTTACACTATAACGGAGTGGTTTGCCGTAGCGTACTAACTACGGAATTATAATTGTCGGTTTACACTATAACGAAGTGGTTTGCCGTAGCGTACTAACTACGAAATTATATTGTGTTTACACTATAACGAAGCGGTTTGCCGTAGCGTACTAACTACGGAAATCAATTCCGTTAAAAATTCACTACGTTTCTAGTATTAAGACTATAATTATTGTGTTTACACTATAACGGAGTGGTTTGCCGTAGCGTACTAACTACGAAATTATATTGTGTTTACACTATAACGGAGTGGTTTGCCGTAGCGTACTAACTACGGAATTATAATTGTCGGTTTACACTATAACGAAGTGGTTTGCCGTAGCGTACTAACTACGAAATTATATTGTGTTTACACTATAACGAAGCGGTTTGCCGTAGCGTACTAACTACGGAAATCAATTCCGTTAAAAATTCACTACGTTTCTAGTATTAAGACTATAATTATTGTGTTTACACTATAACGGGCGGTTTGCCGTAGCGTACTAACTACGAAATTATAT